TTTGAAAGAGCTTAAATTGTATTTCTTCTTCCTTTTTTTTTTTTTTTTTTACTTTTCCTTTATTAACTTAGCAATTTATAATTTTTAAATAATCTATAATAACAAATTATTGATAATAAATTTAAATAATAAAGATTTATATCATTCTTCTAAAAAAATAAAAAAAAAAGGAAGAAGAAATACAATTTAAGCTCTTTCAAAAAAGTCTATCAATCAAATAATTTTTTCTTAAAAGAGATTTATTTGATTGAAATATTTTTTTTCGTTTTTATTTAAATCTTGAAAGAAATTTTATTTATTATTATTTATGATATTGAATAAATCAATTCAACTAGATTCATTATTTAAGTAATTATTAGATTGAAATAGTTTAAAAAAACTAAAAGATCTTAACTTTTAATCAGAAAAGTTTTTTTATCACTAAAAAATTTAAAAGAAATAAAATTTTATAATTTTATTATATATCTTTTGTTTTTTAGTATCTTAGATATTCTTTTTGAGAACTTGAAACTTGAAAAAAAATATTTTTTGAAATTTTCTTTTCAATTATTACTAATATAATCAAAATATGGAAATAAATTAATAAAAACTTGTTTATGTTTTATAAACTAATGTAATATATATTAATTAATTGCCTTTGATAAGAATTTGTATTATTTAAAAGTTAAGTTTTTGAGTAAAATAGCTTGTAAACAACAAAAAAAAAAAAAAGATGGAAACATTTTAAAGTTATACTTTAAATTATTTTAATGAATGTATTAAAGCTTTATTAACAAGAAAGTTAAAAAACTTCTTATAAACATTTTTTTACATATGATTAGAGAATTAGTAAAAAAATATTTTTGAAAAATTTAATTATTATAATTTATTAATAATAATATATAATTTATAAAAATATTTATTCAAAGATTATTATAAAATTTTAAATTGTTTTTATATATATACAAAAAGTTAATTAAATTTTTTAAATAAAATTTAATTATACAGTATATGCAGTATATATAAATATATAGTTAGTTTCAAAATTTTGAGTTTATATATTATATTTTTATTAAAAATTTTAAATTTTTAATTATATAAATAAAAATTATAAAATTTCTATACTGTATGTTATGTCTTAATGTTAGTTTTATTTATTATATTTTTCAAAAAAATTATATATATAATTTTTATTTTTAAATGATTTTGATTGATTGTTATTGTAAAATATATAGTAATTAATAAAAAATAAAAATAGTTAACAATATAAGTTTTATAATTTTTGATTATATAATTAAAGATTTGAAAATTGACAAAATTAAAATTTATAGTAAAAATATAATAAGTGGACTCAAACTTTTGAAAATAATCATATATTAAAATTGTTATTATTATACTTAATGCTTATTTATAATTAAAAAAAAATTTTTTTTTAGAAGATTAAATATTTAATTTAAAATTTATTCTTGTCTTAAATAAAAATTTTTAAAGTTTTTACAATAATTTTTCTAACCATTGTTTATATATTATATTATTTTATTATATTGTACAATTGATAAATAGTAATAAAATATTGAACATTAGTTTTATTAAAAATTAATTTATTTTTAGTTAAATTAACAATTATTTAGTAAGTGAGTATATTTAACTGGGAATTAAATACTTAATATATGATTATTAACAACAAATATAGATTAGTTTAAATAATGCATTTTATATTTCATTAATCTAGATTTATCTACAGTATGTGTATCTGATAGGAGATAAACATTTTTCAATATTTCTAGATATCATTTGCATATATCTCTAGTGAAGTTAAATGTCATTTATTTACATATCGTATACATTTTAAAAGTTTGATCGTTTCCATTTTTGACTTGATTATTTTTTTTAAATTGATTAATTAGTTCTAGTTGACTGATTTATATGATTTAGACTTTAATGTTATCTTTTTACAATTCAATAAATTTTATTAAAAAATTGGTCATTTTGTTTTTCTTAATGAAGTGTAGATTCTTTGCGACAAATAAACATTTGTTCATACATTATATCGCAATATTATTTAGAAAACCCAATTCTCTATATACGATAATAATGAATCATGTGAAAAAGATAAAATCAAAAGGCATTCTCGAAATGACATCAAATAACCGAATTTTAATTTGCAAAGAAAGTGAAACGATAATAAATTTATCGAGACCAATGAGAATGAACAAATGAAGAATGAATGACCTTGTTTTTTTAAAAAGACGTGCTTTCCTCTTAAAGAGTAATCTCAGCGATAGGCGTCTGTCAGCCAATTCTGTCTCCGAACAATAATATAACATTCGACTTACGTGATAATGCGAGCGGATCGAAGCTTGTCCCCAAAGGGCCGCGGATGAACGAGCGAAAAGATTGGCCGACGAATGACTTGGCAAATTAAGGTAGATTACCGGAACACAACGGAACTATTTTTGTCTCAAAATTACAAACGGCTGCATTTAAAATTTAAATTACACGATACAGTATAACATTTATTTTTTATATACTGTACAGTACGTACTGTACGTTACTTATATCAATTGTTTATCTTGTTGGGCAAACTGTTTGTTTACAAAAAAAAAAAAGATCCCGTTTCTATCCATTAAATTATTGCAGAGTGCACAGAGAGAATGATACGAATTAAAGGTAACCTAGAGTGTGCAGAAATTTGTTGAGGTCACAAGTTCACATCTCTATGTATAGACAAACTGGTCTGTCTCGACGACTATGGAAACATGTGAGAGGTGGTGACATGATGCATACACTGTATGAATTAACTTATTACTCGTTCTTGGTTAGGAATTTCCGTTGAAGATGATTACATATCGCATAACGTATCGACATGTATTTAATAATTTAATTTCGAGCATAACGCATCACACTATTCCCTTTCTGTACCCAAATAACTTAAGAAATAAAAACAAAATCGAATTACACATCGTGCATTTTCGATATGCCCAGAACCTTGTGGACGTGCCTATTCCTCGAGACACCAATCACTTTTCTGTACTATAATATGTTTCCGCTAAATTTCAGAATTTTTGTGCATCGATCAGGAAAGCTCTTATTCTCCCCCCCCCCACAATGTTTATCTGAACACACGCTGTGAGAATCCTGTCCTGTAACGTTCGATAATAGAGTTACTTTGCAAAAAAAAAACACAATTAATTTAATTAACCCTTTACACATCTTGTTTACCATTGAGGGCAGCGCACAAGAATTTAACTCATTTTCAAGATTACACGTATGATAATATTAAATTAATTATATGCATCCATATACAGTTCTATTGTTTTGCATATCCACCATGAAAAGAGAGTTAATGATTGGTTCCTTCGGTCACGTCACGTTAATATGAATTTTCTACTGTAAATGCTTGTTAGTAAAATCTTGCTTACAATAATTTGTCTTACGATGAATATAAATTCATTTAAATACACTTTTCATGCTTCGTGCTCCAAATTTTCACCTTTTCAGACGAGGGGTTGTGATTCCCCACGATTTCCGATAGTACAAAGGATGAACATTAATTACCCTTTCCTCACCTTCGCATAAAATTCGCTGATTTCACTGGCGTTTTATCAACTGGCTGGCACCGTAAGTTAAATTTTAAGCAGTGTTGAAAACCTAAATCGACCTTCCCCTTAATTAGGAAGTAACGAGACGTCAAAATACTCCAACTGTTGTCTTTCACTCTTAAAGTGTACGTTTATATTATAATCTACTATACGATCCCCAAATGCCTACATTGTGAGTTTCATTATTTTGTTCTGCGTGTGTTCCTTCATTCGGTCAATAAATACCTTTCTAACCTCCGCAAAGACCGCGACAATTTCTTCGCCATTCTAGCGTATCGGTAGCCCCGGCGCCATCGTCCGTTAACAAATCATCCCTAAAAAAAAATGATATAAAGAATAAAGAGTCGCTAGCAGCTCGGAGATACGGCACTTATGAACTAAATTGGAATGATTACAATGGATCAGAAGTAGATAACAAAAAAGATGTCGCAAGTATGAATAGACACAAGAATCCCGCTAATGCATCATCCTCCCTGACACCCCCCACACCTCATCATAAAATACCGCTAAATGAAAAAACATATGAAAACTTAATATCATCCCTTGGTGGTATAACTATCACCATTGAGCAAAAGGTCGAAGTCAAAGGTATTTTCGATGACAAGACCAAACGACTGGCACCTAATAAAGGTAGCTATAGCAAAATTCCTCGACCTACTACAACTACTATGGTACAAAGAAAGGACCGTCCTGTGCAGATTTCGCCAACACGAACAAAAAGTGCCCAAAGATCGGATTTGATACCAAAAATCAATCCACTTAGCATTAATAGCCGAAAAGATTTTCCGGGTCTCGGATACAAGGTTCAATCGAATTTCACAGTAAATGCTCCAACCGCGAATCCAGAAAATTCAAATGATCCCACTGACATGGAGGACGAAGATTCGTCGACCACGGCACAACTTGCCATACCTCCAAAGCTACTTCACACTGCCCTTGTACCTTTGGAACAGTATAGAAAATACGAACTCGCCCGAAAAAATGTCGATAGTGGTCCAAATTCGCACCCCAAACAATTATCACATGTCGAGTCAAAACAAAAGATGACGATGCCTACATCACAAGGTGCCAAACGACCATCTCAAATATTTAGACAACGGTTATTAGAGCAAAGTGTATCCGTGTCATTGAATAGTTCGTGGTCGAACAATTCAATGAGCCTTAAGGCCGAAAAAGATAATCGCTCAGAGCCTGCTAATACTCATCGCCCTCGAAAATTATTGCGTGCTAATTCGAAACGAAAAAGAACATTGATTTCGTCACCAAGTGTCAAACTAGAATCTTTACCGGAGCAAAGTACATCCGTGCCACTAACTGGTCAAAAACTTGACAAGTCAATGGTTGTCCAGCTTGCACAGGATGTCCAAGGCAACATCAGCGATGTGAATCTGCGCTCCCCCCAATTATCATCTGTCGGTTCAATACCAAATGCCAAGAGACCATCCCAAGTCTTTAGGCAACACCTGCTGGAGCAAAGCATATCCATGTCATTGACCGGTTCTGGATTTAGTAATTTAACTAGCATTAAGCCCACGCAAGATGTATCGAAAAATATCCCTCCCGCTCTAACCAATAACCGTAATTTACGCCACCGACGATTGTCACGTGCCAATTCCAGGAGAAAAGTTTTATCATCGAACGTCAAACGAGAATCCCAAATATTTAGACAACGATTGTTAGAGCAAAGTGTATCCATGTCACTGGTTGGTTCAGGGTTAAAACATGTGACGAGCACAGAACTTGCAAAGGATGTTTCAAAAAACGATATCTCGGCACCTATTAATGCTCAACGCGCCAATTATAAACGGAAAGGATCATCAATTTCACCGCCCGATGCCAAACGAGCTTCGCAAATATTTAGACAACGATTATTGGAGCAAAGCGTGTCTATGTCGTTGTCCGGTTCGGGGTCAAACAGTCTAAATCAGTCTAGATTACCGGTACGTCGATTATCCAGGAGAGCGCGGGAAAGGGAAAGTAGAATGAATAACGCGAACATCGATAGCAAATGTTCACCAGTTCTTGTGAAACCGAATGCTGTCAACATTCTACCAACCTCCAAAATCTTAGAGTCAGAGGAGTTGTCTCAAAAAGTGAACCAAGAAATTCAGAGACAGGCGAGATTGAAACCTCCACAGCCGCCACCTAGAAATGTAACTCATAATCCGCCAACGCCTAGTTCTATTCCAACGCCATCGGTTTCAAAAAATGATTCGCCACCTTTAATTTCCTTGTTGCCTGAAAGAAAAATTACCGGATCTCCAACACAAAAAGCCATAACTCAAACCTCCCCAAGGCCTATTTCGATCGATATCCTACCCTTTCCGACTCACCTATCGCATCGCAACACCATGAAAATACCTTTCCCGATGTCTCTCCGCGTTGCGCCGAGGTTCTGAAAAATGTTTACTTAACGTGCTCATGAAAAAACTTGTATATGTACTCCTTAATTATTTTCTTGTATTCATGTTTTATTTATAATCCATAATTCTATATATTCAATCTTAGTGGAGGTTTGCATTAATTTGGAATGTTGAGAAGTTTTATTTGCATTGACCTTTCGGCTGGGCTAATAACTGATACGATACAGAGACAATAAATTATACATTGTTATCATCCTCCATTGTCCAAAACTACTCCGTACATGCGTGCGTAGGTAGGCACATACTTATAAACAATGTACACAGTATTATCTCGTGTCTTTCGAATCTTCAGGGGGGGGGGGTCGTGATTTAGATGTCATTTGAAATATATTTAATTGGCCCGCAGTGTCGATGCAGGGATTTTGAATGTACTACGATAACCAAAAAAAAATTAAAAAAAAAAAATTCAAAAAGGCACACGTTACGGTACGACATTAGGATTGCCCAAATGTATAATAAAATTTCCATATCGATATCAGGCATATTTTTTTTTAGTATGAAGATATGATAATCTTTATTTATAATCAACATCTCAAAACCCATTTTTTTTTGTTATATTAACAAAAAAATAAAAAATAAAAAACTAATTTGCTCCCGGCGAGGATCGAACTCGCGACCTTCGCGTTGCTCAAGTATAGGGTATAACCTATAAGCACGACGCATTGCCACTTTGCTACGGGAGCTTATGGATGCTTTTTTGAAGTCAAATTTTAATTCATGAAGAAATATGCGCATGATCCGTGGACGATCGGTAAAAGAAGTTGGCACCCCGGCCGTTCGACGAGAAATCGATTAGAATTCCGTTGCTACCTCTTGAAATAGCCCGAAGTTATTCAATTTTTCGAAGAAACACTCGTTTGGGCAAGCTTATCTGGTGATTATCACGTGATTATCAGGTAAAAAAAACATTTGTCACCCCTGCGTATATAAAGCTTTCATTCTTTACGCCACATCAAATCACTTGCACCTTTTCGAAATGTCTTTTCGCATGCCTTACGCTCAACCAATTTTAACCCTTGTCTACAATAAAAAATGCAATAGTTCAAACAGAGCACTCTCAATCCTTTATGATGCGCTAAAGAAACATCCCGGCGTATTCAAACTTGATATCCTCGACTATAAGAAACAACCGCCAACAAAAGATCAACTCCGGAACATTACCGAGTACCTTGGCGTTGGAAAAGATTTTAGCACGATCCTTAGGAAAGATGCGTCCGCCGACGCAGAAACGCTCAATAGTGTTGATGAGTTGGAAGAAGCCATCAGAAGGCGACCGGAAATATTGCAAAGACCTATTTTGGTGGATTGGGATAAGGGTAAGGCGATTGTCGCTCGTCCGCCAGAAAAGGTTGGCGATTTTTTGAAGGAGATGGGATACTGGAAGGAGGGAGAGGAAGAACACATTTAGAAAACCGCATAGAATATTTTAATCTCATTGGCATATATGTTACGTGATCCTTCCATCAAACTCGACCGTACAAACTTGTCTAAATTTGTTCAAATGCAGCAGGTTGTTCTACGTATGCAAACTATATCGTAACGAATAACAAATAATAAAGAAAAATTTCTTCGATTTTTAAATCGGTACATTTCTAATCGATAGGACACGTTTTTTTACAGCCATCTATTTATTACACGGTGGTTTGGGGTTTAGAGAAAATTTTTTCTAATCTCTATATTCATGGAAATGGATGGCTAAATGAATGATATTTAAAATATTTGAATCATACACCAAAATTTTCAGTAATTAATTCTAAGCATTATTTGAATTGCAAAATGAAAAATGGCGTCAAATAAACATGATTATTTGCTTCTATAAATTTATAAATTATAATTTGGAATTTGTTGGAAATTCTATTCTATTTTAATTTTGTTTTTATTATCATTATCATTATTTCTTATTTGCTCAATAAATAAGACCAAATTGCCGGTATTTTAATTTTTATAAACTTTACAAATTTTCTTGTTAACCAATTTCTCCGTTTCATTTTTTTCAAAAGGTTCTAAATTCTAATTTTGCGATGATTTTTTTAAAAGATTCTAAACTCTAGTTTTGCGATAATTTTTTAAAAGGTTCTAATTTTGCGATAATTTTTTAAAAGGTGCTAATCTAAATTCTAATTTTGCGATAAGAATTAAAAAAAAAAATTTTTTTTAAACTATTGGATTAAATTTCATAATCGTAATGAAAATTTTATTTTTAGGTTTGTTTCGTTCAGAATAAAAAAAAATACAGTATATATATTGTTTGTGATACAATTAACTTGAACGTTGTTTAAATGAAATGAATACGGGTATGTATGAACGTTACAAAGGAAAAAAAAATCCTTATTAATAATTTTATCGCGAATCAAAAAAGAATCGAATACCGCAATAACTAATATGCGACTCGTTTTAGATAATAGTATGGTAAGGTTGATAATTCATTGTCGAACTAATTGGTTAAATGAAACTCGCATTCGGCTGATATAAAAGTGTAATAAATAAAATGACAAGTATAATGTAATATTTTTTTATATCGAACAATAGAAATGCACACAAAATATTTAATCCTTATTTAATGATTCGCCCAGGATAATAATATAATATGAAATGTCTTGAATGAAATTAAAATTTATTTCAATCGTCCTTTGGTTTCATCGTGACGGTCAGAGATTGTTTGTTGAAAATTGAATGTATGAAGGCGCCTATCGACAATCGAATAAGTATTCGTTTGATCACATTACAAACGCGAGCAACCGGTGTGACCATATGCAACATACATACCTATGTGATAAATACACGCGCAAAGTACAAAACAGGCGAAGTAAAATCCAATTCTATGTTGTGTCTCCAATTTATCCAAAAGTGGATATGGCTCATAGATATCACGTGACAACGTGTCAGCATGGTAATACAGCGTAAGTCATAAACAAACCAATCTTTTTAAATGAAACTGTACTCACCCACATCCCGTACATGTAAAACCCGATTTGAACCCAAACCGAATACGAAAACGCAAAGCCGAGTATGTAAAAGATGTGACTATGTGACTTTCTAAATTCTTTTGCGAAAAATAGAAAATCAATCCATAGGCATATAGTAGGAATCAGATGGAATCCCATATCTATCAATATCGGGAGCCTGCAGACACAATACATTAAACGAATGTAGATCAATGTAAGGATTAAGGAGGAGGGTAAACAGTTTCGAAAAAGGAATTAATCAAAATGCCTTGATTTTCCAGGAGCCAGTAGGAGTTTTTCATCGTATAATATTATGCCCCAGTAAAGGATGGAAATTAATCCCTCAAGCTATGGTCCAATTGAACAAAGTTAAATTAATGGAGTCTAAAGAACTCGACAATTTCAGGAGGATTTACTCTACCGGCGTAGTCACGACCATAAATCCAGTCTTGAGGATTGATATGACTAAATAAAATGTTTGATGATAGTTTATCTTCTGCCATCAACTTAAAGAAAGACTTGACCATTTGCATTTAGAATTTACTGTACTTTTGGACGTCGTAAACACATCATACAACAAGGCGAAGACAAACGCCGCCAGGGAAAAGAGTAATCCGATCGCCGTCAGGTACTTTTATCAGAATTGATTGCATCAAGGTAGATAAGTAAAGGAACTATCTGTATTTAATAAGAACAGGAAAAAATTTTTACCGTAAATTCAAAAATCAAATCCTGAGATTTATTTATCGTTGGGAATATGGTAAGGGAATAACAAAAAGAAAAAATCCCCGTTGTATGCAGCAAAATCTTCAGAACTCGCGACATCTTTTGTGATCAAAAGAAAGAGAATTTGTGTTTCGTTTAAATGAATAAAGTCAAACTATCATAGGTTGTGTGATGTGCAGTAAAAGTGACCTCGAAATTTTGTGAATCACGCTCGAAAAATTTACATCGAGCCTTATATACCGATTATTCACGTTCGTGGCGCAGTAACGATCAGCTTAAGGGAGTTACGTCACATGCGTTCAAAATTATTAATTAAACCTGTTGGATCATCACCTCCTTATATACTGTAAAGGTTAAGTTTTAAGAAATTTAATAATATAAAGAATATTTAACTCCATATAACAACCTTTATGATCTTTGCACTAATTTATATATTACTTTATCAAAATTAATAAATATAAAAAAAAAACTCTTTCCAAAAAGTATATATAAAAAAAAAAAAACTCTTTCCGCTGATCCTAAATTTCCCAAAAAATTTCCTTTTTTGGCAATTTTCTTGGAAAAACCAGAAGC